TTTTTTTTTCTATTTAGGTAGATATATTACCTTTATCATGGACCCTTTTCAATACGTCTATGTCATCAGAAATAGCAAGCAGCTTGAATTTCATGAATTTGCTAATAAAATGGCTTCCAAAACTTTTGACTACCCAGCCTTGTCAAAAGGAAAATTCCCTGAACTCAAGGAAAACCTGCACAGAATCTACCAGTATCTACAAGGCAAGCCTTTGGATATCATTTCTGACCACATGATGAAAAATCTCCAGGATATATTTGAATGGAAATGCTCACAAGCAACAGATTGGGAAACAGAAAAAATGTACAAATTCTGCTGCTCTGTAATGTTTGAAGCCAGTTTTGTAACACTATATGGAAGAGTTCCTGCTGCAGATGGCCACAAAGTTATTAGTGAAATCAGAGACAAATTTATCAAGTTTGATGCCAGCTTTCCCTATTTAGCTGCAAACATACCAATTGAGTTGCTAGGAGCTACCAAGAAGGTTCGGAAGGAGCTTATACATCATTTTTTACTTCAGAACATGACAAAATGGCTGGGAGGGTCAAAAGTGGTCCAAGCCAGACAAGATATATTTGAGAAATATGAGCTGCTTGGAGATTATGACAAAGCAGGTAGGAAACTTATGAATGATTGCTTGTCTAAAATAAAATAATTTACTATAGACCTTTGAAATAAAAAGGCAAAATGGCGACCTTGAAATTTTTTTATGTTCTTTCTAATTGGCTAATGATAAAATGTTTTACTCTGAAACAACCCTCTATGATAATTGATTTTTTTTTTTGTGCTGAGGTGGTAAAACAAGATACTTAATGGTGATAATGAGAAAGATTATAACTGAGCTGCATTTCCTCCCCTTATTCCCCCCACCCCCCCCGACATTACATTTCAAACTATTCTCATTAAGCAGAAAATTAGACTTCAGAAGCCTATTGGTCCTCATTAGCATTCACTGATCCTTGGCTGGGTCTGTGTCCTAACATCTTTTAATTAGCACACTGCAAATCTAATCAGTGTAATAAACGCTATTAATCTTCCTTTTCACTTATTTTCTCCCAGCACATCATTTTGCCTTCCTGTGGGCCTCTGTGGGAAACACGATTCCAGCTACATTCTGGGCCATGTATTATCTTCTGCGGCACCCAGAAGCTCTTGCAGCGGTGCGTGACGAGATTGACCATTTGCTGCAGTCAACAGGTCAAAAGAGAGGGCCCACGTATAACATCCACCTCACCAGAGAACAATTGGACAACCTGGTCTACCTAGGTAATTTATTTTTATCTGTTAGGAAGAGAAGAGGGGCTCTCCCGGCAAACTCAGTTTATCACTCATTTCTGTTTACTGAGAAGGTGGAGGACACAGCTGCCTAATTGACATAATAACACCCATTTACATCAATTATAAATTATGTAGTTTATAGCTGTAGATACTCTCATTGCATGTAAACATTAAAGCCTAGGTAATTAACTATGCAAGGTATGCAAAAGGCTAAATCGAAGCTTTGCAATTATTTGAAAAAAAAGTTGATGCCTATTAAGTTGTTTGATTCTGAGCATCTGCCGAAGTGTTAATGCATTTCAAATACTTCTGTATGGCACTGCCAAGAAAGACCCTTTTCTGAAATTAAAGTGGGATAGTGTATTTAAACTGCAAATGTATTTTTTCTGCAAGCAATTTCTTTCTTTCTCTCTCTAACAAAACAAAAAGGGCTCTAAAGCAGGCTTCTGCTGGACAATGCCTCCAAATGAAAAAATTTGCAGAGTAGAAATGGTGTTTTCAGTACTTTATTTAAAAGAGGGTGTTTTAAGCAAGCTACGCATCTTCAAGTTCTGGATCAGGGGTTCAGAGGGAGACCCTTGCCAGTGGTCAWTGGAAGTTGTTTGATTCAGGAGCTGTATCAGGATCAGCTCATGGTTTCACTTCATTTGGTAGTGCACAGATGCTGGCAAGAGAAATGGTGAAAATAGCCCAAGGGAGGAAAGAGGTGTAGCAGGTCGGTACCTAACCTTTGAGCATCTAAAGTCTCCACAAGTAGGATAGACAACAAATAAAAAATGAAAGGTTCAATAATCCTCTGTTTTTAAATATCAGAAACAACCCTGCGTTCAAAACAAGCTCATAKCTTTAGGTCTTGGTGGCTCACAACCTGAACTGATGCTCCACTCTTAAACAAAGCTGTCTCAAGAGACCTTGGTGGAGCAGGGCATTCTGTGCCTGGTTTGGATCCTTGTAATAGCTGCCATTCTCCAGGATCATCCACTGTGGCATGTCTCAAAATCTGTGTGAAAACTTGATTTGATTACTACCAATATAAAATYGAGTTTGATCCAGTTCCTTTGTGTTAGAGCATTAATATTAATCTCATATAGCGTGAGTCTACTGAGTTGGTTACATCTGGAGTCACGGCTGTTTTGATGCAGATTTACCTCTAACCAATGGAGAATGCTTTTGAAATATAGGAGATATTGGATGGCAAGGACAATTCTGACAAGTAACATGACTTTCTAAGCATTTAATGGACTTTTAAGGAACACAAGTAAAACTACTTCACATCAGAGCTAACATACACCAATAAATAAGTTACCAAGCATTAAGAAAATCAAAAGAGAATTTAGTTTGTATTTATAGACTGAGATAGAAATGGCAAGAAGAAAAAGGGGGAAAAAAAAGGCTCCCCAAAAGTGTAGCAATAAGGAAAATAAAAGCATGTAGTTCGCTTAAACCATCTGGTGCAAAACAGTATGAACAKTTTAAAAACATTAACTGTGTCATTCCTCTGCTTCTTGAAATCTTGAAGTACCTTGGTAGCATTTGATTTATGTGTTAAGAGGGAAGTGCCACATCCTACTTTGTAGTATTCTTGTAACACTTTTGTTAAATTTTATAATCATGTTAAACATAATGTGATATGAACAGAAGCTAGATTTCAATTCTTCTGGCACTTAAGTCATAAAGGGCTGGATACCGTCCCATAAAATAATAATATAGAAAAAAAATCTGTACCRTAAGAGAATTAGAGTCATGCTTCAGTGGAAGGGGGAAGGAGATGTTTTGTTAATAAATGTGTAGGAGGGATGAAGGTTCCAAATTGCATTGCTTGCACACCAAAAGCTCCCCTGTAGCAGGAAGGCTGGGGCCACTGACCCCAAACCTCCAAGACKGAGCTTTTCCTCCCTCTGTGCCAACCCGGAGCGTAGGAAACTGGGATTGTGTCCCTGCTCTCRAGTGAGGCAGACCAGGTGGGATGCTCGCATGTTCATCACCTTGTCATCTCATTCTCCTGTTTTAAGCGCTCTGATTCTCYGTCCTCTTTTTGGCCTACTGTAACAAGAGACTTTTTTGATTCTTCATGCAATGGAGAACAAGCACAAATTGCTAAAAGTCTTTCTTAGGCATCAGCATTGTTATTACGGTCAAATTCTTTGGGTCTGGTGAAGAGCATGGACAGATTTACTCCTTAATTTTAAATTCTAAGCACGGGTACATGATTATTTTAATTTTAAAAAATCAAAACAAACAAAAAAAAAAACAACCAGAAAAAACAAAAACCAAAATGCATTCAACCCAAATAAAGCTAGCAAATTTTGACATTGATGATCTTTTTCTCATGGCATTTCTGGGGCACCACTCTTTGTATTGTCTACATAAAAGAATACAATCCCAAACCCCAAACATGTGTATTTGTGTGCACAGAGTAACATACATTATTCCATGTTATGGCTCACAATAGAGTTCTAATATGGCAAAGGACACATGAAAATGGTCTGTCAGTTAAACTGGTTATAATGGAAATGCCARGGGTAAAGCAGAGATGTACTTAGTGCGTGTTTAATGCTAGGCATGTTTAGTCAGTTCGTTTCTTTAATATTAGTCCRTTCATTTAAATGGTGAAGTATTCTTGCCCCAGGTCATTGCTGAATCCCAGATATTCCTGCAAAAAGAGCACAGCTTGAAAAATTGTTTTGTACACAAGAAAGGGTAGGGACCCAAAAAGAGCTAATACAAAGTGTGTAGTCATAACACAAATGCTAAGCATTAAAATCATTGGTTGAATTAAAGGAAATAAATATATTTCTCTGGAATGGGCTGGAATGATTCTCTTAYTAAGAACCATTTAGTTCTTACTAAGATGCAAATGTACTTGTTTCAGATTATGGTTTGTGTTGGCACACGGTGATGCCCGTGGGTAAATGACCCCCCAAATATTTGCATACTCAATAGCTATTTTCCTACAATACACTCTTAATAATTATTGTACCCTATTACCTGCTCCGTGTTAGTGTAAAATTAACAATCCATTATTGCACAGTAAGTTTTATAAAACATTTACAGATAGAGATCATGTTTAATTAAAATTAACTTGCCTAYGAAAGCCAAATGCACTTATGATTCGCAATGACCTTTTATTACCTGCAGTCCCTTGTTTTGGCTGGATGATTGACAGCTTGCTGTTTGGCTACCATGTTGTATTTCAGCTGACAAGACTTTTCATTTTAACTCAATTTGCCTGCCTATCACAAGCTGGTGGCAGGCCAGGCTCAAGTCACCCAGCTTTGCCTCAGCAGCTTGCTCTATTTCTCATTAGTACGCATTTATTCAGTGGAAATTGGAAGACAAATGCTTGAAGGCATGTGAACTAAGTATAGCAAATTAGGGTTTAAAGACTGAATATTTATAAGTATATTGAAACAGTTTTTTAAAAAAAAAAGTCTAGAATGAATTGGAAGCTGAGTGCTAGCTTTAGTATAAGAGAAATGAAGAGAGAAGTGGGAGGATTCTAAGAATAACAATACTATGAGAGATATCTCTCTCTTCCCCCCTCCTTCTCTCTCTCTAGAAAATATGTAAAATCTCTCTGACAACACCTTATCAAACAACAGCCTGGCTTCTTTATGTAGCGCTTGCACAGTGAAGTTTAGCATCTCATGTGTGTAAGAAGGGGGGAAAAAAATGAGGGTCATGTTCATTTGCTGCTTGGTTATCCCTTGGTATGCTTTAAATTGCCTTGTTTGTTCGGCACAAGCACAGAAACAGATGTTGCTCTACCGTGCTGGATAATTTACTGTACCTCACGGTGCAGAATGGAAGGCCTCCCAAGCTACCCAGCTGGTCTGTCAGCAGCGATGGCTGGTGTCTGCTGAACTATGACAACTGCAAGTAAAGGCTGCAGTTTTATTGTGCAGTTGTCATTCCTCTCAATGTATAGCTCTGGCATTTGTGGAAAGCTGACTGTCTATTTTTTTAATGCGAGCCYGCAAAGCCATATAAGCTCCATTCTCCTTTGTTGATCATAATGTGACTCATTACTTTTGTCATCTAATGATTATCGGCATGATCGCTCAGAGCGAGAGCCAAGCTCGCCTTCCACACATAACTGGTACTGGAAGGTAAAACAGATTTGTCATTTACGATCTGACCGCTAAGCCACACTTTGTGCTCCATTATTGTGATTAACTTCTGCATAAGATATGCTGCCCAATTGTCATTTGAGATCCGGCGGCGGGCAGGGACTGCCGCGCTTTCTGGGAGGACGTCCACCGATAGGATGTGACCGCATTGCTTGGGCGGTTAAACGTAAACCTGCTATTTTGCCGCAGCGCTTTAATAATTATTTCTCCATTTTTTTTTCCCCCTCCTTCCCTCTTCTTCATTTGATTTCTGCTGCCTCTACCTATGTCACCACCCCCAGTCCAAATGGTGGACTGGTACGAAGCTACCAGCTTCGTTTTCCCCAGGTTGAAGGCAGTCTGGAGCAGAGGCTGGACCCTTCCTTTGTACCGCGTAAAGTTTTGTTGCCAGAGCGCTGCCAGTTGAAATCTATCGTGTCAGGTGCCTTGTGGCTATCCGCAGTAGAGGCCATCTTCTGGAACCAGGGTTCTTTTCTGGCTTCGTCACCAACAAGCCGATTTGACTCTGCCTGATTATAGTAACGAAGGCAGTCCAAAAGAATATGCACAGACTCACTGTACGTCACATTGAATCACGGCGCTGGCCACACAAAGCTGACCGCAGCCTCATTTCTTTAGACAAATGCATGCTTAAGGAAAAACCTCCTGCAAGAAAGCATCCAGGGCCACTTTATTTGCTATGCATGCTGCACCAGATTTAATTTTTAGTGAAAGAACGTTTGTTATTATTTTTTTCAGAGGCATCTACACTGGGTAGCTACTGTCTCTAATAAACTAACCTTTTGGTCGCAGCAATTGCAGTGCCKTGGTGAACACTTAGAGAAGGTTTATTTGATATCACAAAACATAAATGCAGACACAAATGGATKATTACATGCAAATGAAACCCTTTTTTAGGCTATTTTTCACACTAATGATTAGAAGGAATCAAGTCACATATAGCAGTGCCCATACAYGCTGGTGGAAAAATAGTCAGTTTTGATTACAAAGTGAGAGATGCAGCCTTAGACAGGAGCTACATGCTGATATACATGCTATCAGAATGATTTATGCAAATTATGCATATTATTCCCAAAGGAATTCCTCCTCAAACTGCCAGGATAAATTGCCGGAAATTAGCCATAAAATCTGTCGTGCTAGGAGCAAAAGGTGAAGGCCACTGGGAAAGCAAGGACATTCGGCTTCTGGAGCCTTCCAGGATGTGATGGTGGAGACAGAAATCTTGCTTTCCTCAAACCTGAAAGGACTGTGTTTTGTTTCCTCTAGGCCAATTAGAAGAGTCTTTCTCCCTTAAAATTACCAGGCAAATAATGAATTGCTTTCATTCACTCTGACCACAACAGACACTATCATTTGGCAGCATAGTGTGTTGAAAAGAAAATACATTTAAAAATTCTCAGAACAACCACAGAATTAACAAGCAGAATGATTTCTAATGTATAGTCCTGCCATTGCATCCAACAGCTTTCAAAAAGCAAGCTAAACAGCTCCATGGATGCTTTCGCTGGTATTTGTTTGCAACSGCCAAAATATATGTAAATACATAAAGTGTTCATGTCTTTTGGTTGCGTTGTTTTCAACGTGATGCCTGAATAATGGCTTTCCACCCAACACTTGGTGCTGCTTGCAACTGACAGGGTTTCTCATCACCACCACTGAGAATCACATCAGCAGGTTCAGTATCCCAATTTCCCCACCCCAACCCTGTCGGATTGTTTATTGCCTCCTCCTGGTCTCTGCTTTATGTTTGGCTTGGTTTGTGTGGTTTTTTCCTTTTTTTTTTCTTTCTCCTGCCCTACTAAACTCTCGGAGAATCAGCCGCTGTAGCTGTGTATAACTTCCAGTCATCTCCCGTATTTCTGATGCTTCCCCCGTCCCTTTTGTTTTATCACAGAGAGTGCCTTAAACGAGAGTTTAAGAATGTGCTCRTCCTCCATGAACATCCGCATCAGCCAAGAGGATTTTGTTCTCAAGCTTGAAGGGAATCAAGAAGTCGTTTTGAGGAAAGGAGACTGGATAGCCCTTTACCCGCAGATTTTGCACATGGACCCTGAGGTCTATGAAGATCCTAAGGTAAACATTCAGCTGGTGCTACTCTTCATACTCCAGGCATATCGAAGCAGCCAAGCCTTTTGTGATCTGTGGGTTGTTTTTTTTTTTTTTTTTTTTTTTTCTTTTCTTTTTCTTGTGGAACAAATCTTCCTAGTTTCAGATGTATTTTCTGGGGCCCTGCAGGTCAAAGGATTCATGGCCTGAAGAGAGAAATATGGTGATGAGACTGACTGCGACTGCTTTCAAAGGAATTGACAATTGCACATTGACTACCATAAACTTTAGGCTAAATGTGGGCTTTGTTTGGCAGTGGATCATTTGATACCCAAGGAGGGCTGAATAATAGAAGGTGGTTTAAATAGCAAATAATGTGGGCCATTTAGCTAAGTGCCCGCAAAGCATCATTGACTCTCTGAAGCCCTATAATAGCAGTGTCTTACTTGAGCCTTATGCTTTTTCACCTCCCTKCGTAGGGATTCACCCCTTCTTGATCAATTAGAGTGTTGTGAACTTGAGACTGTAAAGCTGTTGCTCTGCAGCGAAGCTCAGAGGGTAATTGTGTCATCTCCTTGTATTTTTCTCTGACGCTCAAGTTAATGAATATCAAAGACTCGAAATTAATCCACCCTGCCTCCGCCATAATACAGCTTCAGAAGTTCACCACCTGCATGCAAATTGAATAGTCCTCCTCTGGGCTAGGTTGCTCCCCAGATTGCTGTCCCCAGCCCAGGGTGCCACGGAGGAAGAGCAAGAAAGAGCAAGGGTGCATGCTGAGGCTGTTAAATGGCTCCTCTGCCTGAGAGGCAATAGCTTGTACCTCATCCATTCCTCACCCCTATTTTCCTAAGTGAATGGCTGTCTCCCAGCCATGCTGATTTCCATCYTTGGCATTTGAGCCAAAGAAGAAAGGAGCCGGATTTTTTTTTTTGCATGTTTATAGAAAGCTTGTGTTAGAGACACTACTCCCTGTAGCTCTCCCTTTCACGAATTTAAAGATGAGAGGTTGCAAAGAAAAGATGAGATTCAAATGTCTCATTGGTGCAGGACAGCATTCCAATGTGTAGGAGCTCTGCCAGCCTCAGTGAGAGGAGGTGTGGATCATGTTGGAATCAGCAGGAGTAAGGTATAGTCACTGGGACGAACATTGGAGCCATGAGAATGAAAATTAAATCCAGGGGAGCTCTGCTGGTTGTCCCCACCCAAAAATGAAGATAAAGCCTGCAGAGAGAATCAGGGTTTTAAAAATAATTCATCTATTGGCAAATAGTTGATTAATATTTTTATCCTTAAAAAGGACAGATAACAGCTAACAAATAAGCTGCTTTTTTTTTTTTTTTCATTTTATCCTTAACACTTTATTTTGGAGAACGTTATTGATTTGTCAAAAGTCCATCTGTTTGTTTAGGTCCTAGACCAAAAGCATCAGTGTGGAAACTGATCTCCTCCCTTATCCAATAATTGCCGGAATATATTACCATATTTCCATTGCTTGAATATATCTGCTTAGTATCAGCTCTGCTCAGCTTTCACAGTACAGCTTTAGTTCATATATTTTATCTTTTTGATAGTGAATGAGCAATCCACACATTGCAGTACATTGATTTCAGCACATGGGCCCTCTCGAAAAGTGGGGAAATCACTGTTCTGTTTGGTTCTTAAAATATGCAGTGTGCTTTCAACAATAACTACTGAGGATCAGATAGAGATGGAGAATGAATTTTTTGAAAGGTGCAGTCTTGAGCTTGTCATGTATTTAGGGAAAACTTTTCCTGGGAAAACAGGCAGCTTGACGAGATAATTTTGTAGCAATGCTTTTTCTCCTGGATACATAAATTTAAGTTCAAGCTATCTTCTGCTTTGGCACCATATTGTGTAAGTGTAAGCATATACTTCTGACCTCTTTCTCCACCCATTAAGGCCTAAATAAATTTGATCCGTTTTCTATAAAGTGAATAAGTGAACCTCTATATTTTTACTCGGCTATTTATAGATCTCAATAAATGAACTCTGCAAAACCCATAGAGTAAATATCAGAAAACCCTGCAGGAAACCCTCTATGGTGGCTTCCCAAACAAAGCTAAATACAGTATATGATAGAAAGAGACTTATATCAATCACAGGAGTTTGCTCAGTTTTCATAATACTCGTAGCAGCTCATCCACACAGAACTTCATTGCCTGTTTTTGCTCAGGGTCTTGACCTTGCTATCAGCTACCATGTCTCTTCCAGGAGACCTTGTGCATGGCTGAAAGCTCCTTCATTTCTAAAAATTAGTCTTTATTTAGCTGGTGAACTAGCTTTTGAGGAAACACTGCTCAACCCAAGGGGCTTCAGCAGCGCAAGCCTGAGTTTSATGTCCCTGGCACTGGCTACCTTCTTGTCTTGCACTTGTTTTCTGTTTTCCCTATTCCTTAGACACCTATTCATTTTTTGTTCAAACCAATTACAAGTCTCAGAAAGCTCTTAATATGACAAACAAAACATAAAGTTTGACCCAGTGTGTCTATGTGTTCAGTAACACAGTTCTTAATTGCTGCAGGCGTCAGAAGTACACCTTGTGAAAATGTCTGAGCAAAGTGAAGAGCTCTAGGTTGGGTGTTTAAGCCATTGCAGTTCATATTTAGCAGTGCCTTTTTAGACCAGCAGGATTTAGAATTCAGGAAGTAAATCTTGTGGTATTCTGGGCTTTCGTTTGTTACTGTGCTGCTTCAAATGAAGCAATAACTTCCTGTCAGAAAAAAATAAAGGCATGCTTTCTTTTGGCTGGGGTGTTCAGAGAGACTGAGAAGAATTACTTATCAGTGGAAGCAGACATGTATTTGTCATATATAGATATATATACACACACGGATGTGTGTATATATATATATATGTATTTATATATGTGTATATATATATATATATCCTTTATATTTATGGAAAGTCACATATATATATATATACATCCTTTATATTTGTGGAAAATCCAGGCCTCTGTCACTTATTGAAACAAGCTCCTATTCTTCAGCACCCAAAGTTACATCCCCTCTACTGCACCTAAMATTTATTCCCTTTTTCATAGACCAGCTCCTCTGACACTTGTTTCTCAATAGCAAGACCTGGAGTGCATGATTTTCAGAGCCCTTAATCTAACGGGTAGATCAGTATCAGTGGGTTTTTAATGGTGACGTGGGGTTTTTTAATCAGTTGAGGTCGGTTTCTGTCTGACTGACTTGTTCCCAGCCAGCTCCAAATGGCTGCTGCTATAGCAGATGTATGCAAAGCAGGACAAATGCTAATGAGTGACCATAAGCAAGAAGTGCCTGTCATTTTTATTCAAAGCATGCAGGAGGGTTTTGTAAGTGGTTAATTTGCCATTGACTGAGTGAGGATGCCAGATCTCCTTCATTCAAAAACACAAATTATCTCTAAACAGGGATCCTGCTACTCAAAAATAGTCAGAAAGATGTTCAATTTATGGACCTTGGGTTACAAGTGTGACCTCAAGCCTTTCTTGAAAGCACCCTCTTTATAATGGTCAGCCACTGGCAGTTGTCCTGCTTTGCTCACAGCTTCTGGAGCAAAACATTTGAAGATAAAATGTGGCAAATTAAGCAGCAACCATCTCCAACTGAAAGGAAAATCAACTGCAAAGCATTGGAGTTTTTGAATAATATGCACCATTCAGTGCAAAAGAAGGATAGATTTTGCTCTAGCTTGCAAGAGCAAGATCGGTGCAATGCATTAATTTATTCATAGACATTTGCAGAATTTGGCAGATTATCCTTATTCATGATGTATGTACCACACCGAGTGCGTGTGATGCTTTACAAGAAAATTGTCCTTCCCACTGAGGTTCATTGTCCCTGCTACAAAGCGGTCAAAATCTAATTACAATCAATATAGGCCAGACACTCAGTGGATGAGATGTGGAAGTTGAAGGAGCTTGATGTAAAAAGACTAAGCTAAGTAAGTGGATTTAAAGAGCGTTCTTTGCAGGGAAGATAATGTGAGTTAATGAAACTTGAGGGAACCAACTAAAAAGAAGAAGCTGTCAGCTCCTTGTCTTCCTCTTTATCTTATTTTCTGGGTTTCAGACAYGTTACCATTGTGCAAAGAAAGCAGCTCATGTAACTGCCTTGTTAGATATCACGCTGTCTCTCCCTTTCTCTTTTATTTTCAGGAGTATAGGTTCGATCGATACATAGAGAATGGCAAGAAGAAAACCACATTCTACAAGGCAGGAAGAAAACTGAAGTATTTCCTAATGCCCTTTGGCTCTGGGATCAGCATGTGTCCAGGGAGGTTCCTCGCAATGAACGAGATGAAGATGTTTCTTTTCATACTATTGTCTCATTTTGATGTAGAACTAGCAGAAAACAAAGCTGTCAGACTTGATAACAGTCGYATGGGCCTTGGTATCCTCCTGCCAGACGTTGATATTGCCTTTCGTTACAAGCTAAGGTCCTTTAGAAATTGAGCAGCTGCCTATATGCCTTCCACTAATCTCCACGTTTGCTCTGTTTCATCACTCAGCTTTACATTTTTGCAAACATTTGCTTTTCCCTCTCTGCTTTTACCTCCTTGCTCTTTGTTTCTAAGGAGAAAAGCCATTAGGCTGGAGGTAGATACCAGATGCAGGGACATGCAAACCTCAATTTGTCCTGTGTGAGTTGTGAGAAGTGAGGTGACCTGACAAGAGTCTGGCCAAATAAACAGCCCAGCATCTCTACAAGGTGCATCCCCATACTCTTGGCCATGGGGTGAGCAGGATTTACAGGGAGGATGAATCCAGGCCACTTATATGGGAAATGGGCACAGCAGCCCTCTGTCACAGGGTTAGATTGGGAGGTCCCATACACCCCTCATCTAGAGGAATATCAGCATCTGCTCATAGAATGGTCATAGAAGTATAATAACAAGAAATGGGGAGTGTATTTCTAGAGGATGAAAGCATTTCTAGTGATTATTATCCTAACTTTATATTTACTTTATTTCCTTCATGATCTTGAGAGTCTTAGCCCCTTATTTGGGAGATGTGATGGAAGTTGTGTGGGGTGGTGGAAGATGATTTGCAAGAATGTCTTACTGGCAACACATTTTTAATTTCAGGTTTACGTACTGAGGGTGAATGCTATCTTGCTCTTTTTTTTTTCTGCAGTGCAGTGCAAAAAAATTAAAATATATGATTTCTTTCCTGCAATAATTTAAAGTCAGAAGGAAAGTTCTGTTGATTTTAACAGGCTCTCGATCAACTCTAAATTACTTATTTTGGCTTTTGAGCACCCCCCCCCCCCAAAAGCATATTCTTCAGGGAGAAAATATATGTGCCTATTTTAAATTATTCTATCACCTCAAAAATTAGCTTCTGTTTGTCTAACTGTTTCTTAGTAGCATGTTYGTGCATTTATTTTGACCATTTCTTGTGTTTGTTCATTTCTCCAAAAAGGCAAAAGAGGAAGAGGGTTCCAAGGACAAGTGTGGTGTCTAAAACTGCTTTTTAATATTGTTTAACTTTGCCTAAGTTATGCATCGGCAGAGTAGTGTGACCTGTGTTTGGAAACAGATTTGTCCATCTGCAGATTGGAAAATCGGCTCTTCCCTGGGGCCAAAATCTGAGCAAATGAAAACCCTAGGCAGCCACAAAAGTTTATACTGGCTGCCCAACCTGCTTCACTGGGTGGCCARCTCTTGTTTTGAAAATTCATTTCTTAGTGCACAAGATCTGAGATTTTAGACCCTGTCTTTCTTCCCAGCCATCACTGCAGAGACTGATGATGATTCCTGTGGCTGTCCAGTCAGGATGATCATTGTGATGGGAGAATAGCCATATCTGTGGGCTTTGTCTTGAGTTCCTAAAAAAAAAATCTCTCTCTTTGGGATTTGCCAGAGTAAGTCTTTCAAAATCAGAAATTCTGCTCATCTGTAGAGCACTTGATGGCCTATGGATGAAAACTATTACCTACGTATTGAGAATTATTTATTGTTATTTGTGAAGAAGCCTGTTCAGTTACTTATGGAAAGCTCATACCCTAAATAAGCATCAGCATCAGCTGAAAGGTTTTCAAAGATTGGCACAGCCACATTCCAAATCCTCCAAGAAGAAAACTGTGGTTTTGTGAGGTGTATTGGATAAACATTTTCTCTTCATATATAGTCTCAATAATGTCTACAAATTTGGAGTACACTTACATTAAATGGGCTTTGCAGTTGAATAAATGATTTAATTTTGCTTCAATATTTAATCAAGAGCAAAAGCTGATTATTGCTTTGTGCCACAGAATGAAATTGGTTTTTATGGAGACGTTCTTGTACTCAGGTTGCTTACTCCTGTAGTTACGCTGTAGAAGCTATTCAGTACTCAGCTGTAGCTCACAATCCAGTTTGGACATTAGAGCCTGGTTTATTGAGAGAGGAAATGTTGATATCATTACACTGTTGACTGTATTCCATTATTGCTTAAATGTAAKCTGTAAAATGTCTCATACCACAATTATGATGAATCCTTCTTTGGCATCCTACTTTGAAACAAACCTGAAGCAACTGGAAAAAAACAGTGGGTATTTGTTTTAAACAGAAGCCTCTTTTTTATAATTKTATTCTATTTTTAGGATCTTGAATTACAGTATCAGTGGCTGCTGCACGRTTTGATAGGGCATAATAGGACTGTGCCAAAACTACATGCAAATCATCAGTAGTTTCAGATTAATTGCTGATCTATTATATAGTACCTATTCTGAAATTAAAAGAAGAACTAGATTGTCTCCAAAGTAGCAAATTAAATTTGTAGGGTATGGTCCATTTAAAAAAAAAAAAAAAAAGAAAAAAACAAAAAGGAAAAAGGGTCAGAATCTTCCGCAGGAATTTCAGGAAACCTCCATGAGGGCACCCGGAGGCCTTGCCTCAGAGTTAGAGAGCATGGGCAAGAGGTTAGCATTCTGCTGGGATAAAAGTTGCTTGCTCTTTTTGCTCAGAAATCAAAATAATCAGCTGCAAAKCAGGGTCTGCCYAGCCTGTCCTGGAATTGTGTCCCTGGTAACCCAGGCTCCTGGTAGATTTGTTTTGCAGGTAAGCAATGCATCATTACCATGGCTTAACTCTGCTGCAGAGGARGTAAGCCTCACCCCCATGGGAAAGKCATGAGAGCTGGAGCAGGACAGAGGAAATTTAAGCTCTTCTTGTCCATGTATTCAGCAGCTGAGGAGGTGACATGCTGAGAGTCAGCAGCTGCTCTGACCAGGAGTGACCCAGTCTCCATGCAGAAGGATTGAAAGGCCCACGGTGTTGGCATTCCTGGTCAATAAACTGAGACAGCACCACGGGGTTAAGGTGCAGCATCCCCAAAAGTCCCAGCTGGAGCCAAGCTGGCTGCAGGGTGCTGTGCCAAGAAGAGCATGTTTCATTTTGTAGGGCACACCACCATTTTTGATGATCTCCTCTGCTGCAGCTCTGAATGTCTGTCGCTGGAGCACTCAGGCAAAACCATCCGAGCAGAAACATCAGCGCTGTTTGAGAGTGTTCGGGTGCCCGTGGGGCTGCGGGGCAGGGTGGAGGAAGGCAGTCACAYCTGAGCTTCCCTGTCCCACCTCTCCACTTCAGCAGGGGGAGTCTGCCCTGCCAGCCCAGCAGTGTCTGCTGGGGATCCACAGACCTGGCAGGTGAGGGTCAGGCRGGAGGAGCTCTTTGGTACCCCCAAAATTTCTCAGCTGTTCCTCCATGAAGTGGTGCTCTCACCCATCACTCTGAGATGTGACTCGATTGGTCACTACCCACCTCTGACTGGAAGCTGTTGATGTCTATGGCTGTATCAATAGTATCTTCTGCTATTAAAAAAAAAAAAAAAAGCAGCACCTTTTTTCTCATAAAAAATAGGTTTATTAAGTCAGTATGGTGCTTTGTCGCACTCAAGAATAAAGTTAATTTATCGTGAACTAATGTGAATGCTAAAATGTAATTTTTTAATTGTTATTTTAATTTACAGATTATATGTTCTCCATTTTCATGCTGGCACTTAGTACTGCTAGATGTTATTGTAAACTTTCTTAATGTTTTATTATTTAGGAAACCATCTAGTATACGTGTACCTGTTTGCAAATTAGATCTTTATATCTATCTCAATATGTCCTAATGTAATAATATAAAACCATGTAAGATTTGTTCTTTAGTTTATGCTTTTAATCCAGCTGCATGTTACTATTTTTGGCACTGTTGTTTTTATGAATAATTACTGGTCTGTAAATTTTTCTTTTATTTTGTCATTATTGAACTTTCTGTCATTCAAGAAATTGTGAAGTGCTCTTAATTGTGCAAACTGACATTTTGTATACAGGTGAACAACAGCTAAATTCTACTTTAACAGTTAATATCCATTTTTCAGGCTCCTAGATTGACTAAGGTACTTCTGAGAAAGAAAATGGAAATTTCATTATTTTAGTAATCTAACATCTTAAGGGAATTTTGTATTTCAAGGACACAATAAAAAGGAATATATCTATTTTAATACTGAATGACTGTCCGTGGTATTTTTTCCAGCTTATATTTATACTTTCCTCACAGATTCACAACTATTGCTTTAATTTTTTARTTATTATTTCAACATACTGCATTTTTCTGTTACTTGATCTTAAAAAATGTTTCTGTAATGAAAAAAGTCTTTAATTTAGCGTTGGAATACAGAAACTCCTCTGAATATTGGAAATGATCATGTCTTTTTTACCACACCCCTCCTTCCAAGAAGCATAAGCTGCTTCTCATCAGATGAAGTAACAAACGTGGTACTTCTGGAATTCTTAGGACACTATTAAAAATTAGTATAAAGATCTGCAGTCCGCTAGTGATTCCTAAATACAATTCCTAGGCTTTAGCTTTTGCAAACTTCCATGCAGTACAAGATGTACTACCTAGTGTAAAATAYTCTGTCTTCACAGATCATTCATTTTAAAAGGGGATATGAATGAAATTGTTACGATACACAGCACTACACCAGCAAAGCACAACTTGGCTTTTCTAGGTATCACTTTAGCTGCCGAGTTTTGCAAGTAGGTATTTAATATGAAGGTTGTACCCTAAAGACATCGGTGTTTCTTCATTCCTTCATGCAGAAATTCTTGTCAGGTATGTCTGTGAGAGTTAYTAAAGATACTTCCTAAAGAAGACAGACCTGCAGCATTTTCTGGGTTTGATAAATGTGTGTGTAGCTCTGCAATTTTTTTAACTCCAGGCTATATTAGAAGTTACTAAAATTTATAAATTAAAAGGTGGCATTGTTTGATATTTCTTGAAGGGCACTTTTCGGAGTGAGATTTCCATAATGGTCTGAAAGACAGCTTGAAAGGAAGGAATTAAYCCCTAACACTGTATTTTATCCAATATTTGATTTGATACTAGATACTTCTTTGATGTTACTTGCATTGCACTGTATTTTACAACTGTTAAAGGCATCAATTTATGCATATGCTTAACTCGTATGAATAGAGTTATTCTAACTGCCAGACCATAGAAAGTGAAGTATATTCCTGCCTATTACCTAGACCAGCCTATGTACCTGGCTAGTCATGTCCCCATACCCACAACATATCAGAAAAATGATCTCATTACAAAAACACCCCTTAAAGCTATGCTTATGAAAGTATTGTGATCCTTAAGTTACTGTCTATGTTTACAATTAGTAATAAACATGAGGAAATGGTTGCTGCATATATAAGAGCGTATTAAAAGAAAAAGTAGACAATGYTCCATTTTAAATTGAAAGCAAGGAAGCTGTAGTGGGATTTGGGTCCTCATATAAACCAGTACTATGTTTATTCTAAGCATCAGGTTTTCCTGGGATCTCCTGAGGTTGTATTGCTATCATTCGTAATAGTGGAAATGTGCTTGTCTTCAAAAGTAGTCACACGAAAATAAATAATCAAAAGAAGCCTAAGCTTCTGCTGTTCTTGCTAGAAGCCTTGCAGGATTCTATCTTCAAAGATTTGTTAAACTGATTTTGACACCAATGTTTTGGCTTATTTTTCTTTTCCCCAAAACCAGCAGCTGCGAGTACAGAAAAGTTGAATAAAAGTCTAAGTTCTGGCTACAGGGAGAGTAAAAGTCAGTAAGCAACACCCGGTGATGACTTTTGACAGCGACTTCTTCCCCATAGCTCATCTTTCCAACTACCTCTTTCTTCCAAACAGTTTAGTCCCTCGCTAACCTCCTACAGGCAGCAGGTCTTTCCCTGTCTAATTTCCATCTTGTGAGCCACTGAATTGCCTCTCYTCACAACGTATCTTTCAGTTGCCTTTTAAAAATGAATTCTTTGCAGCAGCCTTTTGCAAAACCGGCATCGCAGGTGGCTGCAGCTGGGAGGAGTGCCGCCTTGCTAAAGCTTTGAACCTGAAAAGCGGATGGGCATCAGTTGGACTCGTGAGTGAAGCACAGGGGGATGCTGCCGCCCCGGGATGGCTCCGCTCCGGGATGTCCCCGGCCCGCGGTGGCGGCAGGGACACGCACCCGCCCGGCCGCCTCCCCGCCCGCTGCCCGCCGGGCTCCCGGCGCCGGCTTGCGCTCCCTGCGCTCCCACCTCCCCCGGCCCGCGACAAAAATCAGGGGAGAGGGGGSTGAGGAAAGACTCCTGCAGACCCTTCCTAAAAGCATCACGAGCTTCCAGGGGTGCTCTATTGGGGCAAAGGGACGGGACCCCCGAGGAGGTTCCTAGGGAAGCGGTCTGGGTGTTCGGTGAGTTTGGAGGGCTTTCGGCTAGTGGAGAGGAGGTTTACTCTGGAAAGGCGATTGTTTTCCTCTAATCCTCAATTATGAAGATTTAAAAATAGTATTAAAGGGGCAATCTGTTCTGCAACTTCTCGGAAGAAATAATTGTTGATTTAGATAAGCACTGATCCCTTCAGTGTTTGATGAAGACGTTAATTTATGGCTGTCTAGCAGTTTATGGCTGTCATTAGATTTTCAGCTTTGTCTCTCTTCGAAATGTATCTTTATTTTTTTATTTTAATCCGAGACAATTATGTAAGAAAACGGTTATRTTTGATCTAAAATACATCATTTTCCTATAGCATTTCAAATTATTCACAGATCATAGTTCTTATATGTGCATATATGAATTTAAAAACACAGCAGTAAAGTGCTTGAAACAGACCATAAATTTGCTTCCTATTTTATTACACGTCTCTGAATCAGGTTGAGAGGACAAGGGCAACTAGGGGCTTGGGGAAGGATTTAACCCTTCCCGAGGCTGAAGAACCAGCCGAAAGAGACCAAATTCCCCTCCGGAGCCCTTCGGGGCGGGGAGGAGGGAGCGGTGTGGGCGGGCTGGGTGACACCGAGCTGATGAGTGACCACGGCGAAATGGGGCTGGCTGCAGCTCTGTGCTCATTTAGCAGATGTCCCTTCCGCGACGTGGCCGGTTGCTGGGAGCCCCCGAGTCGGGCCGGGGGCCGGGGCAGCCATCCCGGATCCGCACCCGGCAGCGGCTCCTGCCTTGGCCCCTGCCCCGCCGGGATGGCAGCGGAGRAGAGGAGCGGGCACAATCGGCTTAACCCCTGCGGCGCCTGCCTCAGCCAGGCGCAACACTTCAGGGAGAGCCTGCTTTACACCCTCCATGGGCTCCGCTAGTGCTGGAGCCTTCCCAGGCGCGGGCCGGGCCCCGACGGGCAGCAGCGACCCCGCGGAGCGGGCGGGGGCCGGGGCCGGGGCCGGAGCGGAGCGCAGAGCGACTTCCCCAAACTTTTGTCCCGCTCCGTCAAGGAGCTCTTCTGCCGTTTGCTTAGAGCCTCAGGATCCCTCCGGCCTGTGGGCAGGGGCGGTGCGATCACAGTTACAAATGATCCTGGAGACAGTAGAGGAGTCCTGGCTCGTCTGTTTTACCCCCCAACAGCCCCCCTCCGCTGCCACCACCACCACCACCACCACCACCAAAAA